CTGGGATTTGAACCTGGGTCCTCTGCAAGAACAGCCAGTGCTCTTAACTGCTGAGCCATCTCTCCAGTCCCTATTTTTAAATTAAAAAATGTTTTTTAAAATTTATTTTTATGTGTTTGAGTCTCTTGCCTGCATATATGTAAATGCATCTGTGTCATGCAATGTCCATGGAGGCCAGAGAAGGTGTTGGATCTTCTGGAACTGGTGGTATAGACAATTATTAGCTGCCATGTGGGTGCTGGAAAACCAAACCTGGGTCTTCTGCAAGAGCAGTCAGTGTTCTTAACCACTGAACCATCTATCTCTCCAGCACCTTAATTTAAAAAAAATTTTGAGCCCAGGCTCAAATTTAAAAAAATTATGTAGCCCAGGCTGGCTTTGAACTTACCATTCTGCTGTGGCCTCCTGAGTGCTGGGATGATAGCCACATACCAGCAGAAAGCATTCTTTGATTAAGAGTAGCACCTTTTTTTTTTTTTAAACTAGAAAATAGCTTCTAGGTAAGGAACCAGGCTTAATGCACAATTGATTAAGTGCCTGCTGTGTTCTCCCCCAGTCATTCTAGCTTGCTCTAGCTTCCTGCCTTTGTTGTGACCCTTGGTAGGACTTATGAAACACTATAGCCTCATTCAACATTACTTCCTTTGTAGGAGATCGTAAATATTGGCTGACTGTCAAAAGCCTGTGAGACTTCCTTATGAGTGAGAACTTCAGTCCAACCCCAAAAGGCAGTACATGGGAGGGTGGAGGGACTTATCTTTCCTGGTTCCTGGTGTTTAGTGTCAAAAGACGAAGTCATCCATCCTGGGCAGCAGGCAGCTGGGATAACTGGATGAATCCGAGAAAGCAGGTTTTGTTGTTGTTGTTTGTTATTTTTGTTTGTTTGTTTGTTTTTTGAGACAAGGTCTCCCTGCAGCCCCAGCCAGCCTGGAGCCTTCTATGTAAACTAGACCAGGCCCCAAATTCACCAAGATCCACCTGCCCCTGCCTCCCAAGTGTTGGGGTTAAAGGCATGTGCCACCATGCCCGGCTTGAGAAACCAGATTTTTGAGACAGGATCATGCTATATATAACCCAGGCTGACCGTAAACATGTGGCAAGCCTGCCTGTAATCCTGGGATTACAGATGTGAGACACCATGCATGGCCAGGTGTATGTCTTTGACTGAGTTGTGTGAATCTTGGGTTCCAGTCTAAGAAAGTGCTAAGGATTCAATAGACTAATGCATGGTGCAGTACAGGGCCAGGCATGGAAGGTATGGAAACTGTGAGTGGCAGCATCTAGAGGAATCAAGTGTCCAGGTGGTCAGCATTAGGAATCAGGACAGTACCACAGGTTTGATGAAAGGAGACAGACATTGTGCCTACTTCCATGGGGGCTGCTTTGCATGAAAACCTGGCTCCTCTCTGTAGCTCTGAGGCTTCTCTTGGGCCTGAGAGCTTAGGCGCTCAGGCTCTAATGACCTGGTTGGACCCTAAGTGGTCCCTAGAATATGGCCACATCAACAGCCCCCTGCAAGGCTCCAGGGCTACACACACCAGAAGGGTTTTCTGGGGGATCCCTGTGTTGGAGGATGGGAAATGAGACTGGGGAAAGTGGGCAAGGGCCACATCACCATTGTGTATGTCACGCTGTAGAGTTAGGCTTTTATCAGAAAGATGTTGGCACCACGGAAGACCTCACATAGGGCAGTGGTGCGGAGCAGGTGTGAGTTTGGATAACGGAGTCTGAAGCCCCAAGCGTAGAGCCCTAGGCACTGCTCCAGGGGCGGTGATGAGGTCCTCGATAAAAGAGCAGGGGGAGCTTGGGATGGCATTCATGTCTGTGACCCCAGCACTCAGGAAGCTGAGGTCGAGGGATCTTCAGTTTGAGGCCAGCCTGTGCTATCTAGAAAAGTCCTGATTCACAAAACCAGAAAGCTGTGATCAGCTTCAGAGCTAATTGGCAGATACTCCCATCAGGTAGCAAGTAGGAGGGAGAAGGTGGCTCCTGACTGACACCATTTACTGAAAAGAAAGTGGAGGAACAGGATGGGTAGGGAGGTGGGTGTGGAAATGTGAAAAACATCGACTGGGTAGCTTACATTGCAGGTGCTGGTGGGACATGAATGTTAAGCAAAAGAGCCAGTATCTGTGGAGGCCTGGAGGCCTCACTGAGTGTCAGACACCATTCCAAGCTCCTTAGCAGCAACCTGTAAAATAGGTGTGTGAAGTTGGGCCATGAGAATGAGTAAGTTGCCCAAAGCCAGGAAGGGAGGCAGCCAGGATTTGAACATAAGTCACCTGGACTCAGTCCATGTGGGCTCTTAATGCCTGTGCTTCACGACTACTTTGGGACATCAGGAGACAGACCTAAGTGATGGATGCAGTGGAAAACCTCTGAACCAATGTGGGCAGAGATGCAACCAGGGCTGCATTGTGCTCTTGATGGACAGTCAGGCTGAAGTTACCTCACTGCTGTGGGGAGGTGGCTGTATCTTGGGCCTTACGAGAACACTGGGAGGGGACAGCATCCCAAGAGGGTAGCTCGCCAGGCAGGGACAGCATCCCAAGAGGATAGCTCGCCAGGCAGAGCGCCATGGCAGGCAAGGACAGCAGACTGGTTGCTGCTGGTCCTTGCAGGTGACCTGAGGGACAGGCCTCAGTGGGACCTGATAAAAGTGCCTTCTTCCCTAAGGACTCACTTTATTGTTTTAAAAACTCTTAAATTGTTGGGCCTGGCAGTGCATGCCTGTAATCCCAGCACTTGAGAGGCTGAAGCAGGAGGATTGCTTGAGCTACACTGAATTCCAGGCCAGCCTGGGTTAAGACCTTGTCTCAACAAAACAACACAACACAAAACAAAGCAAGCCAAACACAACACAACCCAATCCAACCCAACACAACACAAAAAGCCTTCAAAACCCAAACCCCCAAATCACTCCCATATCTTCAGAGATGACTCATTAAGGATGTTCAAGAACTTATAATTCAGGCTGGGAGGATGGCTCAGTGGGTAAAATGCTTGCTGCACAAATGTGAAGACCTGAGTTTGAATCTCTAGAACCCACAGAAAGCCAGGAGTGGTAGCACATGTCAGTAATGCAGTGCTTCTATGGGAGGTGGGAGGTGGGAGGTGGAGACAAGTCAGGCCCAGGAAAGTCAAGGATCAGCTAGCCTGGCTTATGCAGCCCCAACAGCAAAGAGACCTTGTCTCAAATCAGGAGGAAGACAAGGAGCGACACCCAAGGTTGACCTCTGACCTCCACATGCATCTCCACTCACACAATCACATCATGCATAATAAAAGATCATGTAATTCAATGCCCCATTTTCAAGATGAGGAAACTGAGGCATGGAGAGATTAAGTGACATGGGCCACATTTTCTGGTTAGGCGCAGAGGCAGAGCCACCACTGCCATGCCATAGGAAAGGGTAAACAGATACAGGAATGGATAGGCCAGGGTGCCTCTGCTTGGTGAGGTCACATAGATCCTTTACTACCTCCCTGGTCGTTTCCTTCCGTCCTGTGAGCCACAGCCTGTTTGGGGCTCTTTAGGGGCCTTATCTTTCCAGCCCTTTGAAACCTTTGAAGCCCTTTCAAGTCCATTGAAAACAGTAGTCAGGTTCTATAGATTAGACTTATTAAAACCCAGACAGCTCTGGAGAAGAGGGGAAGGTGAACAAGGGAGAAATAAAGTCAATCCTGAGAGCCTCCGAACCACTCACCGTGCTTCCTATGGCTGTTCCTGCTGGGTAGTCCTCTGCCTGCCCAGGGGAGCTGTGCAGCAAGATTCTCTGATGACTACAGGCCTGTGATATGCAGAGGGGTTTACTTCTGTCCTTCAGTGGGAACAAGGGATAGTTCATGTGGCCCCTGGGATCCCAGGCATAGTAAGGGACCTGTGCCATTCGAAAGGGTGGTTCTGACTCCAGCAGTAGTAGTGATCCTGGGAGCTTGCCAAGCCTTGCAGACTCAGGCTGGGCACAGACCTCCTGAGTGACCCGCACATCAAAACCTCAGGTGGTTCCTCCCAGACTCAATTCGGGCAGTCTTGTTATGCTTCTTTCCAGAGCAACTTTCCTGTTTCACTGTGCCATAGGCACATGACCTAGCAACATCCCCCCCCCTTTTTTTTTTACAGTGCAACCCTCTACACCTTTGAAAAGACAGCCCAGTAAAACTAGGTTATGTGAGAAAACACTTTGCTTTATTGGACAGATCTTCGGGCTCCTCCAGAAGCAGATGTGTTCACAGTTGTCTAGATAGAGTTCCCAACTCAAATCTGAGTCTGCTTGAGTCCCTGATCTAAAGTGGTGCAGTGTTTGCACGTACCTTCTGGACATCCTTCTGTTCTACATCCTGTCTGGATGACTTGTAGTACCTGATACAATGTAAATTGGAGTCAGTAGGCGCCACACTGTATTGCTTAGGGAATAATGAATGAATGACAAGACACGGCTGGAAAGATAAGTTACATGTTTAGTGAGATGCAATTTTCCTTCCTAATTTTGGTCCAAAGATGGTTTATCAGATACAGTCCTCAGATACAGTCAACTGTACTCAAAAGGCAAAGTAATCTAGGACTTTTGTTTGGGCACACCCAAAGGCCCCAGGCCGTAAGGTTGTCTGATAGCTACATCACCAAGATGACCCTGGTGCCTTAACTAAAGGCCAATTTATATTCACTCTTCCCAGACTGTTCAGGGGCAGAGATTTGGGAAGCATACTTACTCAAAATGCTAAGAAAAAAAAATCCTAGTATACAAAGGTGTTTTAGAACGTTCATTTATGTGCAGCAAGCTCCCTTCCCTCATGCCACCAGATACATGAGCTTGTCTGGTCCCTCCAATGACAATTCCCTTGCTGATTAGCTGACCCCCTTCCCTTCCCCTTTGCCATCTGCTTCTACAGCCCAACTAAATGTTTTTGGTGGTTCCTGCTGGTAGGTGGAAAAAAAACACAAGTCAGGTTTTTTTGAACTTTTTTTCTGTTTTGTTTTTAAAGAAACTGCATACATCATCAGAGAGAAACAATAATTTAAATACCATGCAGTTTCTGTATGTACAAAACCTAGGCCATAGAGATCCAGTTTAATTTGTATTCTATGTACAATGTCTTTCTCATACAGCCGTCATTTGTTAAATTAGAACCCGGGGGGGGGGCACGGGATTGACGGTCACCACACTCACTCCTATACAAAGACAAACTATGTACAGACACCGGGAAGCAACTGGAAAAAGCAACCAGCTTGGGGAGGACCAGACACCGGGAGGAAGAAGTCATCGAAGGTGACCCCTGCCCACTGGCTGTGCACGGGGAGAGCCTGGAATCCCGTTCATCAAAGCGACACACCATGGATGCTCATTCCGCAAGTATGAATACATGTTCATAAGCAGAAGAAAAAAAACTCAGAGCGTCTCATTGCATTGACCATTTGGTTTCTCTCTCTGGCAGAAAGGCTCAAGTTCTAAAAACCTGACAAGGCTTTGAGGATCTCTGGGCATGAAGTGATCAGAATTTTTAAAAAGTGAGTAGGTCAATGGGAGGCTCTTCTGTTGGGGAAGTGGGGCTGGGCTGGAGTTTGCAGCGATGTCTGATTTTGAGAAGAAAACAATGGTTGGTTGCCGTGTTTCACATTTCTCCCTCTCCTGCTAACCCCAAAGCCACAGGGCTCAACTGGGAATGTCCACACTAAAGACAGACTCCCTTGACAGTGGCGACTTTTTCAGAAAAGGGATCCACTTTTAAACATCTAGCTTGCCTTTTAGCTCCCCCCTAATTAATGCCAAATTGTCATTTTAGGAAGTAATGTAAGTCGCTCCAGATGTCAAGACAAAATGGAAAAAATCTGGCTACAGCTCTCTCAAGACATCCAGATTTTCAGAGAGAAGTGCCATCCTGCGGCTGGGGAGGTTGCTGAGCATGGTAGGAGCCCAAAGGGAGGTGATCTTTTCGGAGCATGGGAGCACACCCCTAACGAGCGAAAGGGCACCCTGCGGGAACAGTTGAGAATACTGTGTTCAATTTTTCCCACACATGAAGAGGAGGGTAATCCCAGGACATGCTGGAGGCTGCTGCCTGGCAGCAGGGTTTGGGCCTTCTGTTCCCAAGCAATCTGAAAGGCCCTAGAATCAAGGGTAGCGAAAAGCCATGGGACTTCGTGGGAGAAGCCTCTCAGGACTCCTCCTGTTGGGGAAGGCCTGACCATTGGCCAGGGCACCACAGCAGCCCAGGCCACTCAGGGCAGCACAGCTGCTGGTTAAAGGAAGTGAAGGCCTCAGGCCCAGCCACCCAGATCTTGTACCTACCCTGCCACTCTAGGGAAGTCAGGGAAATAATTCTGCATTTTCCTTCCTGTTATGTGCATGTTCAAAAGTCAGTAAGCCTTTCAGGAAGACTGTATTTACAGCCAATCTCAAATCCCAACCAAGTTTTCCCTGAATACCTCTCTGGACTGTGGGAACTACTGAGGTTCAACATTCAAATAATAGTAAAATAATAATAATAATGATAATAATAATAATAATAATAATACCCAGTGATGGTGGTATCTTTGGGCTGGGATGAGGTGTGCTTGGTCCAGAGCGTGCTGGAGAGCAGTGGCTGGGAGGGGCTACCTGCACAGCTGAGCTGAGGTTTCCTCCAATTGGCCTGGCTCCTGGGTTAGCGCTGGCCATGGAGCCATTAAGGTCCTGGAAAATTCCATGGCCTCACTGATGGGTGCTACATTCTAAGAGTAACATGTTCCCATCTGGTTTGTTGGGCAGGGGGACTCTTTGGGATGGCTGGCACTTTCTAATTCTTGGGTGTTTTTGATACTGAGTCAATCATCACCCAGGACAACTGGTCACCCTGAAAGGTGAGCATATCACAGGTACGGAGGCAGAATGCTGCACCTGAGGGCCTGCAAACTCTGCCAGGAAGGAAAACTAAAAATGCTGCAGTGGGCCTCCTTAGGATACTTTTTAGGGTCTGGGGGTGTCTGTCCCTCAATGTATACAGAACCCTTGGGGGCCCATGTCATCAGGGCTTGCCTTCCTGGGGTCCTGCTGCAGTGAGTGGCTGGAAGCACATCCCAAGAGAGAAGGGATTCTCTCTGGATAAGTGGCACAGCAGTGGATGCCATGGCTGGCAAAGGTTTACCCAGTGCTGGCCTGTGCTTATGTGGATTTCTCCGCAGAAACTCTTCAGTAAAAAGAAGAGAGAGTGAAGGCCCTGGAGAGGCACTAGGACATGGGTTACCAGGAGTGGCTCTGCCACCCCACCCCAATCAGTGCTATACTCAGAATCCATAACTGCCAAACCACTGTCCCTGGTGTGTGCAAGGGCAATGAGAAATGTGGGCCAGGCAGGGTTTCTGACCCTGGCCTCTGATCAGCTCACATGCATGAATGCCACAGAGAATCTCAGCACTGGCATTTGTGTGTGGCTCACCCTCAATGAACTGAGAGGGTGACAATGCTCCCTTTCTGACCCAGAGCCTTCTGGAAGGCAGCTCAGCTTGGGCTGGAGATCAAGTTAGATGCTTCAGCCTCCCATGCCCATAGCGCACACGCTTAGGACCAAAGTGCTGCCTCAGGCTCCCCTAGGACATAACCAAAGAGAAAGCCTGAGGAGGGAGGACCATGAGGGCGTCCCTTCCTTTCAACATCCTCTTCCCATGGGGCTCTGAAGTAGACACCCCACTTGGAGCCGGTGTGTCTGATTGAGTCTAGAAGGCCACCTGGATGGTGACTTTGGTCTAACCACTCACACGCCAACCCACTGCCCCTGGCTTCTTTGGACAGGGTGACAGTCCCTTGTGAGGAAGGGATTCCCTGAAAACTGAACCAACACGGTGCCTGCTGGATCTTGATGGAGGGATGAGGCTGCCTCTGGGTGGTCTTCAGGCAGGTCCTCTCCAGCGGCTGGGACCCCTTCCAGTAGCAGAAGTGGTACCAGCAGCTCTGACCCAGGTGTGGTCACCATGGCATTTCCGCACAGAGTCCTGATTGTGTTTCTTTTTTCCTCCAACTCCTCCTCCTCCTCCTCCTCTTCTTCCTCCTCCCCTCCTTCTCTTCTTCGTCTTCTTCTTCTTTAAAAAAAAGGCAGTTCAGAAGATTTACATTGTGATGGGGAAGTGGATAAATACCAGCACTTATGGTTCTTATAAATTTATGTTTTGAAGACAGCAGAGCACTCAGGAGCAATTCCACTGTTACGGTCGGTGAAACCTGAGGAAATAAATACCTTCATCAAGACAGAGGGGATGGCAGAGGCCATTGATTCTACAGCAGAATCCTCCCGTCCCCGGATACACTGATCGTGACAGTGACAAGCCACTGTCACCTCCCTCCCATCACACACACACACACACACACACACACACACACACACACACACACACAAAGGGGGAACTCCAAGGACTCAAACTCCACAGAATTCACCTAGGGGTCTGAGAAAGTTTAATTTGGAGTCTCTGGGGGCCAAAAAGTGTGGCTGCAGTAAAGCCTCTGCCCAGCAGGAAGGGAGAAGACCCAAGTGTGTGTCTGAGACAGTCAATATGTTGTTAAGTCCTGCCTCTCTATATGTTCTCCAAACGGGAGTTAAGTAGGAAAAAAAAAAAAGCCAATGGCCTAGTCACTAACTAGCCATGCATATATCCCTTATAAGCTATGTCATCTCTCTGCCTCTATTTCCCCAACTGACATCACACAGAACTGCTTGGGAACAGCAGAAGATAATGAAACCCAGTTTAGAAGCCTCGTGAGGTGTTTTGGTACTCCACTCAGGGTTAGCTTCTGCTAACTGTACACTGGCAACAATCTTTTCTCTCCAGTTTAAGTTTTTATGAAAACTCACTCTGAGGTTATCTGACATTCATCAAATCTGAATGAAATAAAAAGTGGGGCTTTGGAGGGTGACTTTTTGCCTGGTCCTTTAACATTCTTTGCATTAGCTTTAGCAACTTAAAAGTAGATATTTATAAGCTGGGCATGGTGGCTCCCAACTTTTAATCCCAGTACTAAGGAGGCAGAGGCAGGTAGAGCTCTGTGAGTTCAAGGCCAGCCTGGTCTACCTAATGAGTTCCAGACCAGCTGGGGCTACAGAGAGACCCTGCCTCAAAAAATAAAATAAGTAGAACTTTATGTTGATCTTTGTCTTATAGTCTCCCTGACTTATCCACCAAACCCCTTGGTGATCCAGGACAGGGAAAGTTTGTTTGAAAATAAATATTGCCAGAGCTGGGCATGGTGGTACACATTGGCAGTCTTAGCACTCAGGAAGCTGAGGTAGGAGGATTAATGTAAGTTTGGAACCAGCCTGGACTATGTAGTAAGAACCAGGCCAGCTAGGGCTATAGAGAAAGACCCTGTCTAAACAAAAATCAAACAACATAAACAATCAATATTGCTATTTGAGGGGGCACACATATAAGCCAGACCCCATTAATACTGACCTTGTTAAATGTCTACTCAATTCATGAACTTCCATTTCAGTGCTTTTAAACTCATTGAGCTCCTTTCGAATGGCAGCCTGGAAGGCAAGCAGCTGGTCAGCACGCTCAAGAGGTGGGAAGGGCTCCCTTCTGTATCGTCTAACCATGTTTTTGCTCTCCTACAACTGGACAGTGGGTGCAATGAATTCTTCGATTGGAAGGGGAAAAAAATCACCTGAGATGCTCTTTAGAACCTTCTAGGAGCCTCTTTGTTAGGGGAAACCCATGGGAGTCTGGTGAAGGAAGTCCTATTTTATGACATGTCTGTGTTTATGCCTCATGCAGTCATAGCATGGTACACATAGTAACTAGCTTCCTCTGTTTTTGTTGATCCCCTACTGGGTGCTGAGGAGGGTGTCTATACACAGGCCTGTGATAAGCCTGGAGCCTCATGTTCTTCAAGAGTTCTGTGCCTAGTCTGCTGTTATTCTGTCTTTCTGGGCACAGCGTCTCTGACACGCTATGGTATGAATTGAAAGATCCTGTGTTGGGATTTTAATCCTTAATGGCATGGTACTGAGTGGTGATGGGGTCTTTAGGAGGTAATTAGGTCATTAAGAGGGACTAATGCCTTTATTGGGGGACAGCAGGGATGGGCTGTTACAAAGTGAGGCCACTTCCTGTGTTTTCTCCCTGGCATGTGCCCACTTCCTTGACTTAAGTCCCATTATGAAGCAGCACGAAGTCCTCACCAGGTGTAGCTTCCTGACCTTGGCCTTTCTAGCCTCCAGCACAGTGGGCCTTTAAATAACCTTCTCTTCTTATAAAATTACCAATCCCCAGATATTCTGTTATAGCAACAGAAAATGGACCAAGATACTGCCTTTCCTCCTCCTAGATAGTGGGCACAGCATCATGTCTGTCTTGTGCCTTCTCCAAGTGGTAAAAAAACATTCAGTAACTTTTCACAAATCACCGGGAGCACACAGGGAATCAGTGTTGAGGAGGCAGCTCGTGATGGGGCTGAACAACAGGAGAGAGTCATGCTAGGGCCCAGACCCTGGTCTCTTCACATAATGCCCGCCCTCCCTCCGGCTTCTCCCCTGTTTTTTACTTTGTCGGCAGCCGTGAGGCGAGTCCATGGCTTGTCTGCCCTGCGGTCATAATCCTGAGCATCCGCCACCTCCACATAGTCACTGAAGCGGATGAGGATCTTCCTCTCCCGGAGTTCTTCTACTGTGGGCCTTTGACTGAGCTGTGGGGAGAGAAGTGTGGGCCCAGTCAGCCGGGGACTTTAGATCATGGGGTTCTATCCACAAACTTTAGGTGTGCAGAATGAGGTCCAGAGAGGCAAGTGGCATGTTACACCATCCTGATGAAACAGAGAGGGGGAACCCAGAGCTCTTGGACCTGTTGTCTTCAAATCTTGAGAGCTTTATTATCTCTTTGAGTCTCTCAATTGTATGGGTGACAGCAGCCTGTCTTTTTCTTCATAACATTGGTGGCTTGTCTTTCTGTTGTCTGTGGGTGTCTGATGTGGATTCTCTATGTCTTTCCTTCACCCAGGAGGTGACAGGCACCTTAAGCAATGGTTCTTTCTTATTTGAATTGGTGAGTCCACAGCTATGTCTTACACTTTAGTGCTCTCTGCAAGATGAATTTGTAATACATTATGTGTATGCACACATAAGGGTATATATGCATGTGTATTTTAGACATACAAAAAAGCATTTGTGGATGGAATGCAAAGTTCAGAGTGTGAGGAAAGGGGAATCTGATTTAGGAGTTTTCAGAGCACATGTTGGTAGTGGTCTCCTCTCAAAGGTCAGCTATAAGGTCAGTGAGCCAACACAGAGCTGAGAAAGGGCAAGGCCCTGGAAGGTAGCCCCCCACCCCAGGGCTTTGTGAGGAAGGAGAAGTGATGTCACCTTTACTAAGCCAGCTCTCAGTATTCCCCCATACCCTTCTCCTGTCTTTTAACAACATAAACTGACATTTCTATTCTCTTTTTCTGTCACAGGCTTATTTCTTCAGGGACAACACAGCCGCTCCCTTTACGATACTGTCAACTCATGGACAACCAGTGTTAGTTAAAAACAATTTTTCCTCTGAGCCCTAGACTGTTGAATGCTATTATAGAAGAGTAGTGAGATAAAGTCTTACCACTCTGACCTATAAAACAAACAAACAGAAGTGAGTCCAAATTACCCTGGCTGTTTTGACTGCTGTGCAGCTACCTGTCTCATGCCCTTGGATGGAGCTGGAAGGCACTGGCCCGACGCTGCCCTAGCTCAATGAGATGATGGCCTCCTGCTATTAAACAGAGTGGAGGTGGGCGCTGAGCACCAGGGCAGGACTGAGCAGCCTTGGGCTCCAGCTTGGACAGTGGAAGAAGCTCTGGGGGCCAGAGGACTAGTGATGATGGAACTGGCCCATGTCTAGGTCATGGGCAGTTTCCCTCTCTGTGGCTTCAGCCTGTCTTGGGGCATCAGGGGTTTTCCAAGGCCTGGACACTTTGGCATCCACGTGGGCCACTTGTGGGAAACAATTTCCCAAGGCTGTATAGCTGAGGTTACTTGAAACCCAAATGGCGGCCATCTTGACATCAAAATGTTCTCTCTAAAATTTGAAAGCGGACAGAATTTGTACTGAAGTTAAAAATACATAGCAAACATTTCATTTTCCGTATGAACACAAGATAAACAAGTAGTTAATCAAAACCTCCTGTTTGTGCTCCTGATTCAGGTTTATCTCAGGATATTAATAAGCAATTATTATTTTCTATGTGTTCTACAGCTTCAGAAAGGTGTTTTCTTTTTTTTTTTTTTTTTGGTCTTTTTGAGAAAGGGTCCTGGAACTCACTATGTAGACCAGGCTGGCCTTGAACTCACAGAGATCCACCTGCCTCTGCCTCCCGAGTGATGGGATTAAAGGCATGCGCCACCACGCCCGGCAGCTATGGCTTTTGAATTTATTCTCCTGGAAACCATGACCTGGGTTAGCTGGGTGTACTGTTGCACACCTGTTATCTCAGCACTCAGAAGGCTGAGGCAGGAGGATTATGAATTCAAGAGCAGCATGGGCTACAAAGTGAATCCAAGGCTAGTCTGTGCTACATAGCAAGATTCTATCTACCCCACTGCACCCTCCCCCAAAAGTAAATAAATATAAAGGAAGTCATGAGCTGGATTTTACCAGTTGTCTCTCTAAGGCAGAGTCTAGACAGAATAGAAGACTCAATGTAAGCTCTCAAGGATAGGGACTGTTTTTCTCGCTCTAAACCTGTGATGATACTCTGCTAAATAAATCAAATCGGTAAGATACCCAGTTCAAGTGCTAGAAGGGAACAAGCGCTGTCTTGGGTGGAATGTGGACCTGAATCTAGCTTTGGCCCTCCAGAACTCTTGTTCATGAGCATGGGCGTGTGCCCCTGGCCACACAGGGCTCAGAAGATACTCCTCTAGCCTGTGACTAGAGGTGGCCTTTGATACCCAGAACCCAAAGTCCCCACTTCTCAGTCTTACAAGTTAATACACCTTGCCTCTACAGACTGGGGCGAGAACAACTGGCTGAAGTGAGATCATTTAGTTCTTATTATTGCCCCCTCAGTGTGATGGGAGCTAGTCACCTCATCCTTCAGGCCCTTGTTTACTATTTTAATCAGCTTGGCATTTGGCTTGCCACCAGTGTTTGGATGGTTTTAGAGAAAGAGAGAGTGTTGAGAAATACAGATTACCCCGAGTTAAGGAGTTCGACACCTCACGATCTCTGAATCTCTTCCTTTATGTAATGTTTCCCGGGAGAAAATTTCACAAGTGAGCATTTTCTAAATTAATTTTAATCTCTTTACCATCTTTCAGATTGCGTGTCCCTCTCTCAAGTTGGTCACTGCAGGGGGCTGATTGAAACACTTAGGGCAGACAGAGGCAGTGCTATAGCCTGCGTGTCATCAACTAATTAAACTTTTAACATGACACAACGATAACCTTATTAGCCAGGTTTGTTTTTTAAGAGGCCACTCATGTTGTGAGAGATCCCTATAGGTCTGTATGGCATAGCCATACCATATATTTAGAGGGTTAAAAATATAGCAAAAGTTCAGCTTTATGAGTTTTCTTTAAGTGCTTTTCAAACATCTCCCTTAAATTTATCAGTACTTTCGGTATTTCCCTAATCTGGTAATTCTAACTGGATTAAGAAGTCAAATAGTGCTTAAATTGCTTAAATTCTAATGGACAGCATTAAGTGGAACAAACCAAGTTCACTTTCCTAGGGCCACAGCAAACAAAAGACCATATATTTGAGCTATTATTTGAAAAAATATTTATTATTTTGAGCTGGAGAGATGGCTCAGTGCTTAAAAACACTGGTTGCTCTTACAGAGGCCCCAGGTTGGATTCCCAGCATCCACATAGTGGCTAACAACCATCCGTAACTCTAGTTTTAAAACTTTTTTTTATGCGTATGATTGTATTGCCTGCATGCACATAAATGCACCTGTGTCGTGCAATGCCCGAGGAGGTCAAAAGACAGCATCGTATCCCTGGAACTACTAATTTTTATATTGAATTCCTTATGATCTGGGGGAGTTAATATAACCATTTTGGGTGCCAGGATTGGACCCAGAGTCTTATGTGTGCAAATCATATACACCACCACTGGGCTACACTTACTCTCTATAATGAATTTCTTTTAAAATACAATATACCTATTTTAATTTGAAACATGACTAGGCACCAAGTTGTATGGGGTTAGCTGAGTGCCACAAATCAAGTAGGACTTAATGTCACCTGCCCAAAAATCTCAGAGTGAGGAAGCTGAGTTGATCCCCACCCCAGGGATCCAAGAGAGTCGGAGAGCTGTGGGTCAAAGTGGCCTCAAGACCCCAAGGCCACTAGAAGGCAAGGTGTGGCAAGTGGGTCTGGGCACGGGGAACTGTCTCACCTTGCGAGTCAGCCGCCTCTTAATTTCTCGCTTCTCTTCTTGCTCCTCTTGTTCATTCCGAGCTGTAAGAAACAGTGAAGATGCTCTTGAGTTCTGTGTGCAGAGTCACTCATACTCAGGGCATCCTCTGAGCCTGAGGCAGGCTCTGGTCTAACACCTCAGCTTCAAAGGGGCAACAAGAGAGTACACAGGTCCCATTCCCTGCCTATTCTTATGTCTGAAGGGATTGGGACCCATACACCAGCATCCTTTCAAACTGGCGGGGAGCAGGCTGACCAACCTTCTGGGGTGGTTGTTTCAGGCCCCAGGCAGGGATGCTAGGCTGAGCAATTTGGTTACCAGGCCAGGAGATAATGACTGAAAAGCTTGGGATCATTGTTGGCAGAGATGGACTTTTGGGGAGGAGGGAAGAAGCCTTCTTTGAGTAAGACTCATGTCTTATGCCCCTTAGAGGCCCGTAAGAGACTGAAAGGGCTCACTGTGTGTGGTGGCCTGGTGTCTGAAACCCTACGGAGTGGGAAAGAAGATGGTCCTCCATCTGCTGCAGGAACTAAATGTGGCAGAGGCAACAGAAACCGGAGAGGTTCTGGCACTAAGGATTTCAAAATGCTCACCTTGCACAAGCCCTGATTCCATTAATTCTTTGAATCTTCTAAGAAGTCCACAGAACACGTGTGAGGCCAGGGTGTAGAATATAATTGCTTGCATTTAGACTTGGAAGGAGGGTCTTAGGAGCAGACCTCAGAACCTAAACATTTCCAGCTTAATAGGTGGGCAGCTGACTTGTCTGAGTTTAAAGAGCCAGGCTTTTCCTCTGCCTGAACTAACCCAGTGACCATGAGCAGACCATCATTTACTTTCTGGGCCTTGGGAGGATTCCTTGGTGTCAAGGAAGCATATATACCAACATCTGATTAGAAAACCACCACCAATGCCAACTAGTGTCGCAGGAGATGCGGGATTCGCAGCCATGGGTTTAAGAGGGCATCGCATCAGAAAAAGGAAACTACAGGCTGGTTTTGGTACAAGGTACCTTAAGCTTGCTTGGGATATCTGCTTCCTCCATTTAAAAATCATGGTTATTATGTCTGTGCAACTTACATTAGTTTGATTTACTGGTCCATGGTTATGATTTGGTTGTTGCCTCTGTCTCAGTTTAAGTCTTTTAAAGAAAGAAATTCTAGTGTATAGAAAGGGGGAGACTGAGGAGGGTCTGATAAAAGGTCCCACCTTTCCCTTCCTGCCACCCTGGTAAGGCAGCAACCACAGTTTACAGCTGCCACCAAAGGCAGTAACACCTTTTCCTCCAAGTGGTGGTAATACAAACAGGAATAAGGCCCCTGCGTTGACTTTGTATCCCTGCCTGTCTGTGGGGACCTTGTATGGGCAGCACAGGAAGCACCCACATCCTGAGGGCTGGGCCACCAGAACTCCCACAGTGCCATAACCCACCATGAATGCCCCTTCCTTTGAATTTAAGGAGCGTTTCCTTTCCAGAATGTTCTTTAAAACGCACACATTTCTCTTACCTAATGTGTCATTATACTAGCCAACTATTACTAGCTTAATAGGCATTAACCTATCACAGATAAATTGGGAAGCAGATAGCAAGGCCCAGAAGGAGGGTTGAAGACTGACATTTGTAAAATAAAAATTTCTCTGCGATTAAAAATCTATGAACCTAGCCCAGTCATTAATATCTTAGTATGACCCAATCTATGGGAGACTTAGTTTGGCAGCAGACCCAGGGCAGCTAGCTACACTGGCAAGTAGGAGACAGGGTGGAAGGAAGGTAGTCTTGTGGTCTGTCCTGGAGGCAGCTTAAAGGCATCTAGTTCAAATTTAGAGACCATCCAGGCTACCATGTCTGGTTTCCAAATGAGCTGTAAACTCCCCAGGGAGTGGAGTGACTAGTCAGACGTGGCTCACCAGTCAAATGGGTCAGACCTCGGCTTTTTCCTTATGTCACAACCTGCTTGGGGATGGCCCTCCTCATTACCGGGGACTGACCTCACTCCTGACCTACAGGCCCCTTCGGAGCCATGACGGTAGGTAATCTGTGCCAGAAGAAACAGAGCATCCGGCTTTCATCGCTTCCGGACGTTCTCGGGCTCTCGGCGGGGTGGGTCACAAGCTCCCACTTATGACATCTGTATCATTAGCTCAAAGCCATTTAGAAACCCAGTGTCACAAATTCTCAGGCAGAAGGTACCAAGAAAATTCCACTAGGCAACTGGGAAGAGAGGCCAAGAGAGCCTGTGATGTCATCGTCATGGTGCCGCCCCCCACCGCCCCCCAGTTCATTATGTGCTCAGATGTACACGGGGCCTCACTGGCTGCTGAATAAAGCAAGGGATGCTTACAGGGCTGGGCTGGGTGAGGCTGCAGACCTAACTCACCCTCCACCACCCCCGCTTCATAGCTTCTCCCATGATTTAAAGCCCAGAAGATAAGTTTTAGAACTAATTGTCTGGAGACATCTTCAAATGCCACGTAGTTCTTATTATTTAAGAATCAAGTAGGTATGGGGTGTGGTGGTACATGTAATCCCAGAACTTGGGAGGTGGAGGCAGGGGGATCAGGGGTTCAGATTCATCTTTAGCTATATATATATAGCAAGGCCACCCTGGGCTACAGGAGACCTTGTCTCCAAAAACCAAACCAAACAAACAACCCTCCCCCCCAAAATCAGAAAGACAAAAATAAAAAGAAAACAGACAAGAATACCAACAAAATCTTAAATTAAAAAAATTCAAGTAGATTAAATAATAAGTAGAAAACAAAATCAGAAAAACCAAGTACCAGAATGCAGAGAAAAGCAGAATGTCACTGAAGGTACCGAAGCTGGGAAATGATCCATCTGTTTAAATTTGGCTATGCTGTGCCTGACTTAGCTCTCCGACCAGGAGGAGGCAGAAAGGCTGGAATAAAATCCTGGGGTCACAGAAATTTTCCCTTAGACTCAAGCAAGCAACAGTAGAAACCACACTGCGGGGAATCTTCCCGGGATCCCCTGGGATCTGGGCCAAGCAGAGGTGAAAGTCCGTGCCTCTGGGGAGCCAGCTATGAGCTGGGGTATCTCAGACCCTCTCCCTAAGCATCCTGGCTTCTGAGATATGCAGTATTTTCTGAAACTCAAGGGCCAGTGGTGTGAAGCTTCTCTGGCCAGCGTTCAGGCACCAGAGCTTAGGACAGCTGGAGAGAGGAGGAAGCATGCTTATCTGATTTCTGATTTTAGGAATGAAAGTTCCCCTTTCTACTTTCCAGTTCTCTTCAACAATAGCAACATTATAATGGACCAGGTGTCAGACTAGGGCCAAGTCTCCTCCAATCCTGATGTTCTCTGAGAAAGTTCAAAGGTCATTCACTGTACAGCAGGATAAACTTGGAGACAAGGTCTCGCTGCATAGCCTATGCTGACTTGAAATGTAGTCTTCTTGTTTCCTGCACAGTCACTGGAATGCTGGGATTGTAGGTATGTGCACTATGCCTGGGTGAGCTTAGAAGCTGAACGGCATTCATTGGTTAAAAAAAATAAATCAGGGCTAGTGCAATAGTTCAGTGGGTAAATGTGCTTGCCACCAAGACTGATGCCTTGAGTCCCATCACTGGGTCCCACTTGGTGGAAGGAGAGAACTGACTCTTTTAAGTTGTCCTCTGACTTCCACATGTATGCTATGGCACACACCATCCTCCCCAATCAATGAATACACATAAAAGAAAAAAAAATCTACATACAAATCCCTACAGGCCTGGATCTTGTGTGAGGCACACTGGAGACCCTGGAAGTCCAGTTCTGAGAAGAGTGGGCTTGGGGAGGTGGTGGTGCCTCGGAGAAAGAAGATGGGATGCTGAGCAAGATAGGAAGGCAGATGGGTACCCAAAGACCAAGCTGGTTACAGCCTTCCCAGGCAAAATGCAGCATCCTTCCTCAGCCAGCCACTGAATGCTGACCAACCAGATCCTAAGACCATTGGGAGGAGGGGTAGGAAAGTGTAAACAGAAACATTTTAGATTTATTTAAGTGGAAATAACCAGCCACCTAGAGCGATGTCTCACATGATTCTGTGTGTGTGTGTGTGTGTGTGTGTGTGTGTGTGTGTGTGTGTTCCCGCATTCTAGAGAAGCATATAAAACTCTTTGTAATATATGTTTCTCTTTTCTGGAGGGACATTAGAAGGGCTTTTGGGGGCCAGGAGAAAAAGGATCACAAATTAAGCTAAGAAAGTTCTTTGATGATGGTTGAGAAATATGTGTGAGAGCACAGTGGGATGGTCTGGTGGGAGTGAACAGAGAGGTTCAATTTTTAAAAAAGTATTGACTATTTCCTAAACTGAAGCATACTTCTGTCTATGGAATGATGGGTTCCCTGCAGTATTTTGCATTCTTTAATTGTTTTAGTACCAAGTGGATTCTCCCAACAAATTCAAATATACTCAGTGTCCTGAACCAAACAAGGGACCCATTTATTTTCCTGTCTGCAGCCACCTCATAATGGCAAGCTTTTCCTGAATGAATGTGTCACACAGGAACGCCACTGGCCAGGCCAATCCTGAGAGAAGTAGATGAATTTTCACTCAGAAATACTTTCTCCCACTGTAAAACCCATGCTCAAGGGGCTGAGGAAATGTCAACAGCAGCCAAATTTCCCTTATATCAAAATCCCAGGCACTGTTTTAAAGACAATTCTGGTTTAAAGGTGACCTGGCTCTCTCAGAACCTCTCTGGCAAGTTCTCTCAGTTTGATTTTCCAGTTTTTCTCTGACTTTACAGCTCACCTCAGGGTGGGTTCTGCCCGCAGCCCAGGATCTTCTAACCCACAAAGGGGAAGCCAGTGGCATAGAACACCTGTCTTGGGAGGGGGCTCAACTCTGGTGTTGTGGCACTCAAGGGTGAAGCCACCTGCGGGGGGGGGGCAGGGGGAGTATTTTCAGTGCTCCACACAGGCCCTGGGAAAACCCGAAGAGCCACCATCCAGTCATCAGGAAGGCTGCCCCAAGCATCTTTGGTCACCCTGGGCTTAGTCACTTACGTTTCAGAATGTTCCTCTGCTCCAGTTCCTCTGCCGTGGGCCTCTGGCTCAGCCGCCTACGAAAGAAATCCAGGAAAAGTTTTTGGACCATGTCATACCCTCCTAGGGTGGGTAACCTCCTCAGCCCTAGAAGATACATCAGGCAGAGTCAGCAGCTGGAGTCCTCCTTCCATCCTGTGCTCTCAGAGACTGACTCTCCCCACCAGTGCCTGCTTAGTTCCTCAATTTCAAACCCAGGAAGGGCACCCTGCGTCATGTCATGCAGAGCTGCCCTTCCTCCCTCTGCAGGCCCCTCCCCGGTCCTGCTCCTCCAGTGCCCCCAGGCCAGGGGACCGAAACTTAGCTGGGGCCTCTCCTCTTCACAGACATCCCTTTCTTTCCTTATGGCCCATTGACCGCAGGACTGTGTGGCCTCTTGCCTTTCTCTCCCTGCCTCCAGGCTAGAGCTCGCTTCTTGCCACCTTAGTGTACACCCAGAGCACAGAGGCTCATGGCCTCTGGGACATGCAAGAGAGGGTGTCTGTTTGCCAAGAACAATAGCTGCTCTTCTTCCTGTCTCCACCCATCTCCACCAGAGCCTTGTTTGACATGGAATGCCAGACGAACAGGCACAGAAACGACACTCTTATTACCAGGCATGTAATTAAGTCACAGGGAGCAAGGCACCAAGGCAGGGCCAGGAGCTTCTGGTGATGCAACGGAGAGAGACAGGGACAGACAGTGACAGAAGTCACCAGAGGATGGTAATGACTCCCAAGGGGAGAACAACATACTCAGATGCCCACATAAAGTTCAAGGAGGGGACACCACACAGAGTAGACCTAAGCTTCACTTTGACTTTAAAAACTTGCCCCCTGCCTCAGTTTCCTTGAATGCTCATAGCCCATTATGACACCTATAATGTCATTATAATCTTTTACTATTCCCAAATAAACACCACTATTCGTTGGTGACTCTGATTATTATTTAGCCTGACAGGTGAAAATATAAAGTCTGTGGAGTCTTTAAGTATAGCTTTTCAAATTCAATGCTTGTCTGTTAGAAACTGGCAACACCCTGAAATGGTTGGAAACTATATTCCAATGCGTTTTAAGTTTATAAGAGCACTTTCATATTTATTATTCCTTTTGCTTCTCAAAGCAACTCTGTTGCATACTGTGAAATAGATGTGGTCTTTGACCCTATTTCCTATCAAGATGTAACTAAGGCCCTGGAACCTCCTATCAAGGAATACATGAAACTTCCTAGAACTTCTTTTGTTATTCAGAATGAATCTCTTCAGATCAAGGCTGATGAGATGAGCTAGGGTGGGATCCTAGGTCGATTCAGGAGTGCACTGGTCACTAGAAAGACCCTGTGATTGGAGGTTTGAAGCTCATGAAAACTCTAGAACAATGAGATGAGCTTCCAGGATGCTAAACTCCTAGAGGAGCCCTCCAACACTTTTCTTATCCATATATCTGTTCACTCATATCCCATGAAAAATTGCAAACTGGTTAATATAAGTGAGGTGTGTCTGAGTTCTATGAGCAAACTGATCAAACCCAAGGAGAGGGTCATGGGATCTCCAGACTTACAGTCAGCTGGTTAGAGACAGGTGCCCATATATTACTTGTGTCTCAAGTCTTGAGGGACTTGACCTGTGGGATGTGACACAGTGGATGTAGACATAAGAGAATAGAATTAGTTTATAGGCTGCTTCTTGGAACTCACTGGAGAATGGCTTGTGTGTGTGTACATGTTCGTGTGTGTGTATGTGTGTGTCCCACACATCTGTCTATAGGTGCTATGCCCAGTGTAATAGAAGAGAGAAAAGCTAGTCTGTTTTTTTCAATCCAATCAAGGTACTCCTGACCCCCCCATGGAAAGTGCCAGCTGTGTGTCTAGAAAAACACAGTACAGGCCGCAGTCTCATACTGCTGGAGAAACTGGCAAGTGGGTGGCACAGGTCTAGAATGCAGCAGACTGACTCTACTTTGGATTTTCTTCTTAGATACTTTTTTCCCCTTGCCAGTTTATTCTCCCTATAAACACTAGCTCCTTCTTAAGGGATGCACAGTCCCTTTTGTGGGATGGTTTGCTAATACCCAGGCTTTTGTTCAAGGAAGGAATTGGGGGGAAGTTTGCTCTTAACAAGCCCTCCAGACTCAAGCGGAGCTTGTATCAACCACAGTCTTATGCGAAGAAGAATCTATAGCAGGGCTTCCTAAAGTTTTTCAACTCACAACTCCTTTATACTTGAGAAGTTTTAATATGATTCTGGGTTTATAGGTATATAAAATAAACATACAAATCAAATATTTACTGATAACCATAAAGAAACTTATTTGAAAGCAATTCTGTGATATGTGTATACTTATCTAAAACTTATAGTTTTCTCATTTATTAAAGAAAACAAACTTGTATACTAATGAGATGGATGTGGTTATTTGTCTAACACAATCCAGTCTAAAGACAAGCCAGGTAGATTTCTATGAGATCGAGGCCAGCCTGGTCTACATAGTGAGCTCCAGGCCAGCTGGGGCTACAGGGAATCCTGTCTCAAAGAAAAACAAAACAAAAACCAAGACAAAATGAAACAAAGAGGTGCTAATTTGATACTTCTGTGCTGAGGAAGGATGGTAGGAAGATATTGAAAATCTTTGCTTTGCATGATTAAACCATCATGTTTCTGTAAGCACAGGAAACTTTGCATGTACAGTAAGATCATTGCAATTCACAACAGGAGAGTGTTGAATCCAAGCTGAGGTGTTTCAGGCAGCATTCCTTGGCATTTTGTGGTGTGGCATGTGCAGTGAAAAGTCTTAGTTGCTATTCCTGATGCTGTGATTAAAAACTCTGACAAAAACAACTTAAGGGAGAAAGGGTTGATTTCTGCTCACAGTTCAAGGCACACAGTTCAAAGTGCAGTCCATGATGACAGGAGACAAGGCAGCAGGAGCTCAAAGCAGCTGGTCATATCATATCCCCAGTCAAAAGAAGAGAGCAATTGAATGCATGCATGCTAGAACTCAGCTTGCCCTCCCCACTCTAACACAGGAAAAGTTACAGCCTTATAACTTTCTGTAATCATATGTAGTCTTCTTTTAAGCTTAGACTATTTGAAGTTTCCTTTGTTTTACTTACTAAGGTAAGTAGTAACCCTGGGATGAAATGTAACCCTGGGATGCTTTGCTACATTCTATTGCTCCCTGATGTTTTCACTACCCTGAGATATTTTCTTACTCTGTGTGGTGGTTTGAATGAGACTGTTCCCCATAGGTTCCAAGTATTTGGACATTTTGTCCCCAGTTAGTGGTACTGTTTCAGGAGGGCTTAGAAGGTGCAGCCAGGCTGGAGGAAGCACGTCACTGGGGAGCAGGTTTACAAAGTTCCTAAGCCTTGCGGGATTTCCAGTCTCTCTCTGCTTCCCATGCTTGCTTGAAGATGTGAGGGCTTAACTTTCTGCTCCTGCTCTGGCCACCTCACCATATCTTTCCACCATGGTGGACTCTAATCCCTTTGGAACCTGGAACCGAGAGCTCAAATAATCTCTTCTTCCTGTAAGTTCCCCTGGTCATGGTGTTTTATCACAGCAACAGAAAAGTAACTAATATGCTCTGTAATATCTTGAAGCTCTGTGATGTTTTCCAGTTCCCATGTTTTAACTGTTGATAAAGTTGTAAAACTAATGGAAAGCTCACCAAATAGTTTAATGAGGCATCTGGTCCAATTAGTCCAAGAAAAGTATAGATTAAATGTGTCAGATATCTAAACTTCTGCCAATGATATGTTACTGTAAAATGCAATGGCCATTCGATTGATTCCTAGCTTAATTAGCCTGACCTAGCTATAGATCCAAAGGCAGCAGATGTCCTGACCCATGCCTGAGATATCTACTTTTAGGCTATGGTGACCAAGTGATGAACAAGGAAGGAATTTTTTCCTGAGATAACATGTCCCATCATGAAAAGAAACATAGGGCTCAGGTGTCAGCCATAAAATGATGATGTAAAATTGTCTATTTAATTCCCATCTGTCTGTCAGGGTCCCAGAAAATCTTGAAGCCTTTATGGCTAAATCTGGGGCCCTCATGCATGAGTAAGGAACAACCAAGCTTTCTGACTCTCTCTTAGGTAAATGCTTGATCCCTTTGCTGTTTGAAGATCTTTTTCATAACCGTATGACCCTGTGTAGGGTCACAATCCCAGTTTCAGAACTTTGCTCTGCAGGATCTTTGCTTCCTGACTTCTGCTGAGCAGCCGCCTCTATCCCAGTACACACAGATGGCACAAATGTTTGTGAGAGGCTGAATGCCTTTAGATGGGGTGGGTGTACAGTAGCTAGCTCTGCATCTAGTATTGACTTCTGCTGAGCAGCCCCCTCTATCCCAGTACACACAGATGGCACAAATGTTTGTGAGAGGATGAATGCCTTTAGATGGGGTGGGTGTACAGTAGCTAGCTCTGCATCTAGTACTCACACGGGTGCACTTACACCTGACTTGCTTCCCCTCTTTCTCAATGTTCCTGTCCCCATCCCCAAACTCCTCTAGACTTTAGCATTCGCGGCCTTGGGTGACATCATCAAGTTATAAGAACCACAAGTTTTGTTTTCCCAAGTCTTTCATTCACTAATGTACAACATGTACTAAAGGCTCCATTGAGGTCCAGCCATATCCTTAGGAATCACACAGCCTGGAGGAAGACAGCAGTGATTGAGGTATGCATGTTAAAATTGACTGACAACTTTCAAGCAATTGGGGTAGAATAGAACATCCCCTACACAATAAGCAAGATGGATAGGACTTAGATCTCCCCTGCCTTAGAAGGTAGCATCTCAGGTAGCCATGCAGAGTTGGGCCAGCCAACGTAGTTCAGTAGGCAAGTTCAGTATTCTTTCAGGATAGAAAGACAGGGAAATTAAGGGGATATAGGAAAGGAAAGAAAGTCCTCACTTCTGGTGGTTGAGAGTAAAAAAATTCCAACACAACTGCACTAGTTTTCGTCAACTTGACACAACTAGAGCCACCTGGGAAGAAGGAACCTCAGCTGAAGAGCTGTGTCCATCAGACTGG